TTTATGTGTATGCATGTATTGCCTGCATGTAGGTAAGTGCACCCATGTCATGTAATGCCCTTGGAGGACAGAAGAGACTGTCAGATCCCCTGGAACTGGAGTTACAGAGAGTTGTTAGCTGCCGTGTGGGTGCTGGGACTCAAACCCGGATCTTTTGCAAGAACATTCAGTGTTCTTTGTTATTGTTGTTGTTGTTGTTGTTGTTGATGATGATTTTTATTTTACTGTACAAGCGTATTGCCTGTGTGTATGTGAGTGCACCCGTGTTGTGCAATGCCGCAGAGGTCAGAAGAGGGTTTCGGATTCCTCTGCAACTGGAGTTAAGGATGGTTCGTAGCTGCCATGTGGGTGCTGAGAATCGAACCCAGGTCCTCTGCAAGAGCAATTAGTGCTCTTCACCACTGAGCTATATCTCCAGCCCCTCATTCAGTGTTCTTAACTGATGAGACATCTCTCCAGCCCCTATATTGAATATGTTTTAAACATGTATAGAAAACATTTAATATACTAATTGCTACTGTTATTATCATTCTTAACTTGAAGAGTGAAGACAGTAAAGAAGCTAACAATATAAATGATCTGTTTAGGGTGCTGGAGAGATGGCTCACAGGTTAAAAGCACTGGCTGCTCTTGCAGAAGACCCGAGTTCAAATTCCAGCACCCACATGGTGGCTAACAGCCATTCATAACTCCAGTTCCAGGGGAATCCAGCGCCCTCTTCTGACCTCCATGGATAGTGCATGACATGGGTGCATTTACACACATGCAGGCAATACACTCATACACACAAAATAAAAATGATAAGGAGCTGGGGAGATGGCTTAGTGGTTAAGAGCACTGGCTGCTCTTACAGACAACCTGGGTTCAGTTCCCAGCACCCACATGGCAGCTAACAACTGTTCATAACTCAAGTTCCAGGGGGATCTGATGCCCTCTTCTGACCTCCGTGGGCCTTGCATAACATGGGTGCACTTACATACATGCAGACAATACAGTCATGCACATAAAATAAGAGTAAAAACAGGCTGGGCGTGGTGGTACATGCCATTAATCCCAGCACTCAGGAGGCAGAAATAGGCAGATCTCTGTGAGTTCAAGGCCAGCCTGGTCTACATAGTGAGTTCCAGGACAGCTGGGGCTACAGGGAGAAATAATAAATAATAATAAATAAAATGATAGATACTTTAAATGCTATGTTCAGAGTCTTAGAATGAAAATTTAATATTCATTTCTGATCTCATGGTCAATAAATATATAATAATCTAATAACATGATCAAGATTGACATAGGCTTGGGCTTTACTAGTACAAAGTACTTGATGTTCTCTATTGTGAGAATCTCCTCGTTTTAGATACTATATTTCATGTGATTTTGCATGAATGAATGCAAGCACACTAAATTCAGGAAAACAGTCTTATTATTGACAACACAGTAGATTTGATAAGTACTGATTGAATGTGTGTTGAGTGAATAGAATCTACGTATAGTTGTACGAACACAGATTGTATCTTGACCCATGTTAAGGGTCAGGACTACTACTTCACATTTTTTCCTTCCTTTTCTTTACCAGAAGTCTCTTACCTAATTTAATAATGCATTAGTGTAGATTGGTGTACATTTTTTGGATTAGCTGAAGCGTAACTTCCATCTATCTGGATTCCTTTCTCAAAATCCCAGGAATGTACCTGGTACCGCAGCTTAAACTGTCTAGTTTCTGCTTCCCTCATTGGGGTTCCTTTAAAGGAAAGTACATCAGAGCATTCTAAAACCACCTATACATAGATGTTCAAGAATTATTTCCACAGTGTCTGACCATGGCTATGTGTAAGTCCAAGAGTGAAATGTGTTCATACTTGATAACTAGTCATGAGAAACAATGATCAGAGCTGAGTTATTTAGAAGTCACAGATAGGAGTCTTGCCTTTGTTCCACTCTATCCTCTCCTCTCTTATCCTGTGATAGAAACCCATAGACTGCCCCTGCCATGTAGGTGGTGACCTCAACCACCACCCAGCTGCTTTGTCGTTCTGTGTCACCCTGCTCCTCAGTAGCAAGAATGACACATGTTCTACCCACAGCTCCATCAGAAATTCAAGACAATCGCATCTCATAATATCTCTGCTGCTGAGTTAAGAAATCCTCCCTCTCAAACTTCAGTAAGGTCTCCTTTTCCAAGACTTTCAGCAATTGTCTGACAGCACAGGGGTTAACATAGTATCTGCTTCTTTCCATGTATAATCCCAGAGGTCATAGCTGTAGATCTGCCGAGTTTGCAGATCACTAAATAGTTTATCTCTCCCCACCCAGCAGGGCATGGTCACTTTAGAAAATGGATGGAAAAATATCCCCTACTATAATTGGGTTCAGCCTTGTGGCTTAACACCATCTTATTTGGCAATCTTTTTCTCTTGACGTATTTAGTAATCACTCTAAGGGAGATTTATTACACTGCTCATGGGAACAAACAATGCACTAAATATTACACATATGCATGCTTTCAACACCACTCCTTTCCAAGTCTATTCTGAATCTTTACCCCAAAGTCTTTAAGTATTATCAAAATTCTTTTGCCTTTCCTCTTTATTTTTTCCTCTTCCAAGATAAGCTTTTACATTTTGAAAAATTTTGTGGTTAGAAACAATCTTAACCAAGACCTCAAGACCTGCTAGCCTGTACTTAGACAAGAATGGTTAGAAACATACTTTCAGAACTTAAAGCCATTGAAAGATATTTTCTGGCCATTAATCCTGACACACCAAAACAAAAATTTAACATATGGTTAGCACTATAAAAATAGCCTCATAGGTATATCTGGAAGACTGTATTGCGTGTGAAAGAAATGAAAATATTTCAGCCAAACGTAATACAGCAAAAATGTTTTCTGAACCTATGGGTGGGATACATGAAGAGATGTGGGGGAAGGGGACACAGAGTTAGGATGAACAGCTCAATCTTTGGGCTAAGTAAAGGACTTTGACAGCTGGTGCCTCTCAGACATTTTCAAAAAAGCATAATATCCCACTCACCCAGACACATGAACACCAAAATGTCTTAACAAATAATTCATCTAGAACAGATTTGAGAGAAGATATATAGATACATCAGGGTCATAGAGACACTGGTGGGAGAATCAACTCAGTGTTAGGCACAGTTATAGATACACTTGTTTATCTTATCTAACACTCCAATGCATGCCACTGGTCTCATTTTGCAAATTGGCTACATTTACACAGATAAGGTAAAGCCACCGTGAGGATAACTGGCTGATGAGTTGAAACACTTAAATTAGGGGACTGTATAGCTATAGTTCAAAAAGTAAGATGATGTCATTTTAAGATGGCAATTAGATCTATGACCTATCTACATGACCTCCGTGAATCTTGGTTTTCTCATCTATAAACTAAATCAAGAAGTTTTAAAATATGCAATCTTGGCACATAGTAGAGGCTCAAACTCCTTAATCACCTTACACGCATATACTACCTGTTTTCTCATTTCAGATAGAAGATTGCATATCCTCCTATATGTGTAAACCTAAGTACTTGGGATTTTTAGGGGCAGGGCAGTAAAAGCACAAACTCAGGAATCAGTTGCTGGCAAAGAACCCTCCTTGCATTGCTGTTATTGCCAACCTAGAGGTATATGATAAGAAGCTGAGCACACAGGCTCTGGAACTAGACTCTTTGGTACAAGCCAGATCTGCCTTTTGTGATGAATGTGATCTTGGGCAAATAATTTAACTTCTCTCTGTCTAGTTTCCTCGTCTGGAAGATAAGACTAGTGCTCATTCCTACTTAGTGGTTTATTGTAAGGACTAAGTGAGCTAATCTGGGTAAATGCCCAGAACTCTGCTTGACTTGGAGGAGCAGCTGTTAACTTAGCTGCTTGTCTTGTGTGCACTTCGATGGCAAGTGTACAATATCTTGGCACAACAGGAAATCTGACACTAGACAAGGTATGTAGAATGTTTTTTGCAGTACTGGGGATGGAAACCAGGGTTTTGCTCATAGTAGGCAAGCACTCTATCACTGATCACTGAGTCCTTAAAGTGTGGAGAATAAATCTCACTGTGCTCCTTTATTGTGATTTCCCTTTATCTCAGCCAGGCTCTTACAGTTCAGTTCCCTTCCTCTATACAGATAAGGAAAATCAGAGAATACAAGGGCTATCAAGGTGAACCTCTTGTCTTTTATGGAATAGAGTAACTGGATAAGATTATTGGCAGCAAGGGATTGGCCATCAGAGGACCTCTGCATTCAGAATTGCACTGTAGTTGACTTGGTATGTCATGTTTTCAAAAGAAATAATAAACAAGGGACCTCTAGAAGATTTTCAAAAGGTATAGAACACTTTGATCACAAAGAGCATGTAGAAATAATGTTGATAGTTGAATGCAGCACTTCTTAAACTTTAGCAGTATAAGAATTCACTGAAGTGGCTAAGAACACTTGCTGTTCTTCCAGAGGACCCAGGTTCAACTCCCAGCACTCACATGATGGCTAACAACCATCCATAGCTCTAGTTCCAGGAGATTCAACACCCTCTTCTAGCCTCTGTGGGTATTGCGCACATGTGGTACACTTAAATACATGCATGCACTCATACACATAAAATAAAAACAATAAATAAAATATTTAAAAATTCCCTGGAAGGTTTGTAAAAATCCAGATCTATAGACTGTACCCCAGAAAATCTGATTTCCCAGGTCTGGAATAGGGTCTAGGAATTTTCATTTCGGACATGCTCTCATGTTGGTCTGATGCTGCTGGACCAGGGACCACACACGTTGAAAATACCCAATATATGTTTTGCATTCCTACTATCTATTTGTGGTCTATGGTGAAAACATTTTATGTAAACTTTTTGTCAAAGAGATGGAGTTAATGATTTCCCTTTCCCCAAATAAGAAGAAATATTTAAATCTCTAGAGCCATTGTCACTTATTAATATCAATTCTTCATTTAAAAAAAAAAACCACTGATTGTCTTTTTTCCCCCTAGTTGCATACTGCTGTGACCAAGATCCAGGTTCCAAGGCCTGGTTTTAATTATACGTTTGCCCACATATGTATCCTGAACAATGATAAGACTTGCATAGTGGATGACATAGTACACGTCCTGGAAGAGCTAAAGAATGCCCGAGCCACCAATCGGACCAACTTTGCGATCACGTATCCAATCACTCACTTAAAGGATGGAAGGGCTGTCTATAATGGGCACCAGCTTGGAGGCGTCACTGTACACAGCAAGGATCGGGTGAAATCTGCAGAGGCCATTCAGCTAACCTACTATCTACAGTCAATCAACAGTCTCAATGACATGGTAGCTGAGAGGTGGGAGTCCAGTTTCTGCGACACTGTCAGACTGTTTGAGAAATCCAACAGCAAAGTCAAAATGTACCCTTACACATCCTCATCACTGAGAGAAGATTTCCAGAAGACCAGTCGTGTGTCAGAACGTTACCTGGTCACAAGCCTGATCCTGGTGGTTACCATGGCCATCCTCTGCTGCTCCATGCAGGACTGTGTCCGCAGCAAGCCCTGGTTAGGCTTACTTGGGTTGGTAACCATAAGCCTAGCCACTCTCACTGCAGCTGGAATCATCAATCTTACTGGTGGAAAATACAATTCCACTTTCCTGGGAGTCCCTTTCATCATGCTAGGTAATTGCTGCCCTTCATTTTCCTGGTTTTTTTCCCCCTGTTGATGGTGGTAACTAGTTTTCTCACAGACTAAGAAGAGCCATTTAACAAGTTTGTTTCATTTATAGTATATTCATGTTGCTCAAAAGGCCTGGAACCAGTTCTATCAAGTACTGATCATCAGCAAGGAGCAACCTAATCTGGCACATGTGCCAGAAAGCCAAAGGCTTGCGCTTCAGCCCTAGTTCTACATTTAGTAGCTATGTGGTGTTTAGCAGAAATTAATATTCTGTCCCTCAGTATCATAAGGTGTGTTTCCTCAAAAGCAGACCCAAGTACAGTATAGACACAAGTATTTTATTTAGGAGAGGAAGCCTGGTAGCACCAGTATGGAGGTAAGAGTGGGACAGGAAGACAGACAGCCCCAAGCATGTTATTACATTACTGCTGTGGGTTCCAGTGAATCAGTTCTACTGGAGATCACTGGAAGAATGGATAGGACACTCCCCAGAAAGTTCCTTCCTAAACAGTGAGGAAGCTGGGCTGTTTACATAGAAGCCCTGTGTGTGATTTATTGATGGCGGCTCCCCTGTGTAGTTAACACCTATGTGCACTTCCAGGGAAGCCTGAGTCCACTTCTGCAGTCAGAGAAAGCCCCTAGGTGAATTTGTAGTGAGAAGCCTTCAGGAAGCTCCAGAGCAGCAAAGGAGAGGGTAAATGGTTTGGTTTATCTGACTCATTAATAAATAGAGTGGATATGAGCATCACTTAAAGGAACGTAATAAATGTATAAGAACTTTAAAGGTGTCATGTGAAATATCAGTTAGAAGGCATCTTTTTTCTTATTCTTGGTATTCGTTTAAGAGCATTTTAGAGTGGTGGTGATGGAGTCCTTCCAGAATTTTCATTTTGGTGGGGGGGGGCAATGCAAAAATTCCCAAACAAACATAATGCTCAAAACAAAGTCACAGTGCCCACAGCATTAGTTGCTCTGCCTACCTGGTATTGAAGATGACATATCCAGTACACCTGATGGCAAAGTTCCTGTGGGCCAAAGATGCAATCAAGTTAGCTTCCCCTTTTTTTCTGTGGCAACTTCTTATCAGTTCGTTTAGTAAAATTAAAATGTCACTTGGAATCGGATACTGACAGTACAGAAAGACTGGCAGTGGCAACTTCTTATCAGTTCGTTTAGTAAAATTAAAATGTCACTTGGAATCAGATACTGACAGTACAGAAAGACTGGCATGTTGTTGTTGTTGTTGTTGTTGTTGACTGGGAAGTAACCATAACTCAGTTCATTGGTATGCCTCATGCCAGGTTTTAGAGTAGCATAAAGGCGAAGAATTTCCTCAGGAAATCTCAGCTGCATTATGGTTAAATGATAAGCAGCGCTGGTGGGGCTGCAAGGCCACAGAATTACATTCTGCCCTCAACGCTCAGCAGCCAGTGGGAATTGAGACCTAGTCAATAAACATATACTAGTAGCTTTTGTGAAAATCGGGGCACTGTGGAGAGACTAAGCAGTCTGAGGATTTGCTAGATCAATTTGCTTGTCACTGTTGAAAACAACAGAGAAGGAGGCTGCTGTACTACTCATGGATTCAGTCTGTTAGGAAAGCAGCATAACTTGCTCCTTTAAAATAACCCCAAGACCATGCAGGTTAATTGTGGAATCCAGGGAAATTCCTCAAGGAGTGAGTAGGACTGAGTATTAGTAACTTCCTCAGAGAGTTGAGTCAAGGTTTAAATTAAGATGTTTTGTTTATGATTAGTCACATGTTTGAGTGTTTAGAGGGACTTTTTAAAACTTCTCATTTTAAAAATAATGAGGTTTTTGTTGTTGCTTTTTCAAGAGGAATATACGCAAGAATAAGAAAATGATTGGGGGCTGGAGAGATGGCCCATCAGTCAAGAGCACTGGCTGCTCTTGCAGAGGACCCGGATTTGTTTCCCATATGGCAGCTAACAACCATCTATAAGTTCAGTTCCAGGGAGTCTGATGCCTTATTCCAACCTCCACAGACATTACATGCCATGGGTACACTTACATACATGAGGGAAAATTACTCATAAATATAAAATAAAGAAAAATTTTAAAAATTTAAGAAATTGGTTGAGAGCTGAAGGGAGATGGTAAGGTTCTTAAGGTGAAGAGTAAAGGACGTAAGAACTAGAAAAAAAGAACTGTTTTGGTTTTATAGCACTCCAAGTTATTAAATGTGCTCTCAAGGCAGGTTACATTTAAAGCTTCCTAAAACTGATGATAAGGAAAATAAAATCGCAATATCTAAAGCTTCTTAGAACTCATTTTAAGTAAAATCAAACAGCACTATTTAAAATTAATTTCTCTAAGTAAAACAAAATTAAAACATTCAAAACTTCTCAACTAATTTTTAAAATAAAATGAATTAGAATCTTTAACATTTTTCAAATGTATCTTCGTATTTTCAAGAAGTTTGAAATATTGCAAGTAAAAATGAACACCAGAATAGAATATGTCAGATCGTATTGGTAGAGTAAATAATGTGAGAGATGTTAGGATACAATGATACTGTTAGCAAGGGAATGCCTTTAAAAAGCAAGTCCAGAAATAGTAAGTAGTTCCACAACTCCCCAGAGACTGAATATCACTGAACTTTACGTCAGAATTCAATTCAGAAAAATCGGGTATTTGCAGTGAAAGAGAACAAGCACGGCAGGTGCCCAATACTCCCTTGTTTGCAATTTGTGAGGAATGTTACATGCATTGATTTGATGGCAGTTTTCCCTGCTGACAACCAGTTTGCAACCTTTCTGTACATTTTCAGCCCACAGAGTTCTCAAATTACTTAGTCACTACATGAAAAGAAGCTACACATTTTAGTAGCTAAGGCCCATTTGCAGTAAATACTTTGCACGATGTAATGGATGTTTAATATGCTCATAAAGCTAACAGTGCCTCGACTTAGGATGCTCACCCTTCTGGATATCTCAGATAAGCTCTTCATTCTTACAGTATGATTGTAAAATGAAATATAAGCAAGAGGAGGTTCATAAATGTGTATTCGAGGCAAATGTTTAGTTCTGTTCCTAAAATGCCAATAAATATTTCAAATCACCAAAAGAAATGCAGTGCTAAGAGTTTTGCACTAAATATCAATCCTCTATCCAGTAAGTTGCTGTCCATAGCATAAACTAGTTATGTATGCTAAACTTAATCAGATTTTAGCAAAACTTCTTGATTTAGTAAATGCAATATCAAATCAAATCATATTATGTATGGCCTCATTTAGAAGGAAAAAAAGTATCATAGAAAGAGTATGGAATACAGAAATCTCCTTGGTTATCAATTAGTTTATAATGCAGCAAACGTTATAGATTTAAACTTCAACAAACTCAACATTCTCAGTGTGATACCGGTCACATAAGGCCAGATCCAGCCAAATGCCAAAATGGCAGTTGATTTAGAACGGAAAATTTTAAGACCACGTCTATAAAGAAGTATTAACCTGACAAAATTCCAGAAGAGGAAAGAATTTGGATAAACTCTGTGAGTTCACCATAATGGGACGTGGTTGTATGTTTCTAGCTAAGATGATACATGACATCTCTGGCAATAAGAATATATCCTACACAGATGAATCAGTTTGGCAATGATGTAAGCATAAATACATCACGATTTAGAGTGTTTTTCATCAGTGTCATGCATACTAGACAATTCCACTTCTGCCAAAACCTCTATCCAGATGAGTCGGATTAGTTTATTTGGAGCTGAAATCCTAAAAGGTCTACAATATAATAAACATTCATTGACATTCTTTAGTTAGTAGAATTTGAAAAAGAATATATTTGGCTACATTAATGTCAGATAGTAAGGTATTCAACAGTCATAAGTATCATTTTACTCTGTTATAGAATTTCCTATAAAAAATGAGAATTTACACCATTGCGCCCAGTTGAGTATGGCTTAAGAAATTGGCATAAGTTTTGTATATGCGAACTCTCCTTCTAGGTTTAATGTTTCTACAGCTTTACTCATCATACATAAGTCAGGAAAGGAACAGAATGTTGGAGAATATAGAAGGACCAGGAACAGAAGGAAGATTTTCTTCCTTGTGCACATGGGAAATTTGTTTCTCATGTACATTCCATGAAGTTAAAAGGGAAGAAGTGAAGACATGGTTAAAGTCAGTTCGGACATTAGTTTCTGTGTGGCAGCCTATCTTATAAGGGTCACTTTGCCTTTATTGAGATTCAAGAGCCCTGGAGAGTGGATGAGATTTTAAAAAACAGTCTTCAATTTTGAAAAAGTCAAATATCAAATCCATGGTGCCCTCTTCCTTCTGAATTACCCAATCAGCAGAGTATACAGCATTTATTTGAATTTCCTAACCAGACTCTCAAGGTTGAAGAATGTCAGTAGAAGATAAAATGTATATTATGCTAGGAGAGGAATAAAATCAGGAAAGTTGTCTCTTTCAACTGTATATGCTAAGATCATCTGTTTTTTAGTAGAAACCAAAAGATCAACTTTAGTTCTTCAAGGCTTTAGTCTCATTGATACTACTCGAAAAGTATAACCGTGTATGTGGCTCATAAAAAGGAGTGTACTAAATTGTACAAGAAGTTTAGTTCCAACTAAAAAATTGAAACCATTAATTATTCTTACTCTAAATTTAAACAGACTTGAAAGGTTTTTGCATTCTATTAAGAAACTCATTAGAAACACAAGGTGGAAAAAATCTTCCAGATAATAACAAAGTTTTAACCATATGAAATTACCAAACATTTTTGACCTAGAAAATTGGCACGACATTTAATCATTTTTAAACTACAAAAATGGCAATTTCATATGGTTCAACACAACACATTACAGTAGAAATCTGCTATTTGCCACAACATGACAATCTACATGACAAAATAGAAGTATAAAGTGATGTGAAAATACTTGGCCTGGATAGAAAACAGTCATACTTTCACTGGTTTCTAGAAAATACTGCATATTAGTGTTTTGTTCATAATTTTGTGTTCATCTCATT